AAAAAAAATAACCACCAAAGCATCGGAACAAACTTGAGCCATAAATGGATTCAGCCCAAAGACAGTATTTAAAAATAGAAGCTAATATCCTAAATCTTTTTCCACCTACACCAGAATCTTTCCTAAATTGCACAGTCCCATAGCGGTCAAAGGTTTCTGCATTCGTTTAGCAACAGTAGGAGAATTTTATGTGGCATTCTAGTTTAACAGCTGTAATGGAGCAAATTTTGATGCAAGCAAAGTATTGCTAAGTTGATGATATTTCAACTGTTTGGCGATACATTTCCGTTAAAAAAAAGTGGGTATAATGGATGAAATAATTTAAATTAAGAAAATTAGCAAATAATTTAAATTAGTGAAATTAAAAAAAATATCAAAGAAAAATTTCCAGCTTTTCTTTAAAATTCCCTGATTTTTCCAGGTTTTTATCCAAATTTCCCTGATATTTCCAGGTTTTTTCCAGTATAAAAAAAATTCCCTGATAATTCCAGGTTTTCAAGGTTTTCCAGGTGGGTGGCCACCCTGTAAAAACACTTAAAAATATTGCTTACATTTTGCTTTCAAATAGTAATATTTTCCAAAATTTTGCTTTGCACTTGAAAGGTCAACTTTTCCCATAATTTGTGCAAAAAAAGCTACTCAAATTGAAATACTACAACCGATAACTTAGAATCCAATTTTGCATTAACTATATTTTCATAGGATATAGTTTTGATATTAGCACAATTTGTACAAATGCACTTTAATTACCTTTATTTAAAAGAAATTACAGCATTTTGGCAGGAAATTTTGTAAAAGAAATTTAAAAAACTAAAATAATTCAGAGTATGCTTCTTTTCCCACATTTCATTTATTTAAATAAATAAACTCATCAACTATAAAATCAATGTTGTAATAAGACAAAAAATCAATATAAGGACAGAATAAAAACAAATTTCATTCACACAGAACGCTCCCTTTATTAAATGTCACAACTAAAAAAAATAAATTTTTAAACATATAAAAATAAAGTGACAGTTTATGTCTGAAGCTATTTTTCCTGACAATAAAAATAAAAGACTGTTTCATTTTAGTAATTAAAGTTTAAAAAAAAGATATAATTTTATGGAAAAAAGAAAACCCATACATAAAAGTAATCATTAAAATTGTTTTAACATTATATACTAGAGTATCAAAACTCAAAAATCTAAAACAAACACTAAATACAATTTATAAACTTATAATTAACATTAAAACTGCCAGATTCTTGTAGTTGGTACGATACAAATTGATAAATTAGTGTTAGTTTTCTATACCTCAATATTGAGAAAATATTCATTCTGAGATATCTTTCTTTGAAATGCTATTTAAAACAATATTATACGAAATCGGGTAGCAAGTTTTATGTAATGAGATAAAACTACGTTTAAATATATGAGGAGTTTCTTATCACCATTTTTTGGAAAGAAAAAAAAAAACAACATTGAAACTTATTAAAATAATGTTTTAAGCTAAGTCAATATGTAATAATATGTCAAAAATTTTCCAGTGAAGAGTTGGTAATATTTGATATAATCAGCTTCTTTTCGCAGTTGAGTGAAAATTGGAAACTTTCAAACAGATTCTGATTTTTTTTAACAAAAAATTAAAAAAAAAATTATTTTAGCAATATACCAACTGCCCTAATAGTTTGTATAATTTATCCATTGCCAGTGTTGTTATATATGTTTACTTTTAGTTTTATATATACTTGTTACTTCCTTTCAGATTTCTGACAAATCAGTACAAAGATCAAATATCTTACATTTTTTGTACAAATTGAGAAGAATGCATTTAAGATTTAGTAGCAGCGCCAGAAGATCCCATTCTTTGAGGATCTTGTGATGGATAATGAATTGCAGGTTTTGCTTGTGTTGAAGAGTCCTCAGAGCTTGTTGATGCTGCTGGTTCAGAAGATGGAGGTTGCGGAGGGGGTGGCGGATAAGAACCAGGAGGCCGTAAACCAGGGGGCATAGCAACAGGAGGGGGGCGTATTGAAACACTTCGTTGTCTCATGAAATGCATAGGGGGTGGAGGAGGTGGCAATGAAAAGCCTAAACCTAAAAAGAAATTTATTATTAGTCCAGTTTGAATGCAACGAATAAATTATAAATAGTATTCTGATGTTTAATTTTATTAGAAAACACCAAATTTTTAATCTCATAGGCAATTTTTCGTTGCAGAGATGGAGTTTGGTGGAGTTTAAATGTGTGCAACTTTGTTAGATAAAAATGACTTCTGAGTTACACGCTATTTAATTTTAGTTATACATTCCAATACAGATAAATAAATAAACATTTATTTTCTCGCAATGCTATCATAAAACAACATGGTTTATCAAAAATTTGTCTTGGCAGCTAACTTACTTATACAGCACTACTGTATCGACCAACCATCTCTTTTCCAGTCTTCCTCCTGATTTAAAGATGAAAGTTTTCTACATTAAGTTTTCTTAAATTTCTATTATCATTTAATCTTTCAATGTGCCCCAAGCATGCCAAACGTTTTACTTTAATAAATTGAATTATGTTTTTTGGTCTGATTAAACGGTTAAGTTCACTATTATTTCTAAATATTGAAGCATTATTTATTTTAATGTATTTGAAAATTCTTCTAATATTTTTCCTTTCGAAGACTTGATTCGTCTTTATTTCTTAGAGTCCACTGCCATACATAACTATAGGTCTAGATAACTGATTTATAGATCTTTAGCTTGATCTCCTTAATAAGAAGTTGAATAAGTATTTCTTGAATAAGTATTGATATAAGTAAAAACATTTACTTCCTTTTTGTACCCGGGATTTAATTTCTTTGAATAGATTGTTAGTATCATTAATAATTGAATCAAGGTAGGTATAACTGGAAACTCTTTCAAATTTATAGCTATCTACCACAAGTGGTGATGAAGTAGTGGTAGATTTTGTTTGGGCCATAAATTTAAAGTCTACTCCTGTAGTGTATGAATAGTAGAAGAAAAATTATTATTTAACAACAGATGGCGGTCGGTGATGTGTAATGACATTGGGCATGATATGATGTAAGAACACCAGCGATTGTATGGGGTCTGATTGATAGCAGTAGACCATTCCGTCACTTCCGCAATTTGCGTGATGCATTATTTGCAATAAAAGTGTTGTTATAAAGTAGGATGAATGGATAAACAGCTAATGGATATAATCCTGCAATCCTCATAAAATAAGCAAAACATCACAACTTTGTTTGCTGCTTTTATAAGATGATTAGTAATGAAATTAAAGCAGACCTACTTCAACTCAAAATAAAAATATCATCAGAAAAGGCACGAAGGTGAATTTTCTTAGTAATAATGGAGTCTCCCAAATCCTGGTGGCGAATTATATATTCAAGTGCCATAATAAAAAACAATGGTGATAATCAATCCCTCTGTCTGACATCAACATCTTTGGCAGCTATAAAAATTATCTATGGGTTTTTTTTTCTAGCAATTTCTTTTTGATGGTAAAAAAAGAAGATATTTTAAATGTCATATTAGTATGATTAATGAATTTTGACTTCCTTATTTGAAAAATCACTTTTTGTTGTATTGAATTTGTGTTTTCATGTAAATCTATGTGGTTTTGTAGAATGTTTCTTTGGCAGTTATTGCTACTAACAGTTTTTAAAAAAAACTTAAATAAAGTAGATCTTTAACACATTCGCTGCCGATCACGCACCAGTGCGTGATATGACGTCAACACTATGAAGCCAGCCACGCGCCAGCTCGTGGTGTGGGGTGATGTCTCAGTAGCCAGTCACGCGCTAACACGGGAAAATCTTTCACTGATTATTTATTCTCCTGTTCATTTGGCATTACATGCAGAGTATTCTTGCAGGTATTGGCATGGAGTGATGATTATAAACTACGCATATATAATCATAGTTTTGAAATTAATAATGTATTTTTTATTAAAAAAATTATCTTGTGATATGAGTAATATAGATGATAATGCAGGGCCATTGCACCCGAAAAAAAGAAAATTTCAAAATAAGAAGGCTCTAACGGATGGAGAAATACCAAATTTGTTGGCTGAACTATCGGATGAGTACCCGAGTGATTTAAGTTATAACAGTGATGAGGAATTTGTTCCTTCCACTAATGCCTATGGTATTTCGTATTCTGATGATGACGATGAAGAACGAATTGGGCAAGAGGTTGCATGCCAGTTTATAATATTTCATTTATATTAAATATTTGATAGTAATAAAGTATCATATAAAAATAATGCATTTTGAAACTCATCTTCATTATTTTGTTTGATGTTTACGCATCACGTGCTAGCGCGTAATGCGGCATTTAGGAAATAATTTTACCTGTAGTGCCTATCGCGCGCTGGCGCGGCGTCAAAATATTGTATCAGGAAACGCTTGCATATTATTTAGAAATCAGTATGACGAACACAATTATGTTTTATTACAACTTTTCAATATATTTGTTATAAAAAGTAAATCGGCTTCTGGGAAAAACCCTCTACTACTGAGGGACAATAACTATCATGACATCCACGCGTGACCGGAAGCGAATGTGTTGAAGAACTTTTTTTGTAAAATGCAATGTCTTTAAAAAAAGTGATTTCTTTATGAATACAGTGGTAGACCCTGTTTACCTAATGGTGGTGGTCCTTGCATCATGGCGAGAGGAGGTGGATATGGCGGCATTGCATTTCCGGGAGGTGGTAGAGGAGGAGCAGGAGGCAATATGGAGGGTGTTGCTGGCAAATTGAAGTAGTTGTTAGCCAATTCTTCAGGAGGAGCAGGCAAAGCTAATGGGATAAGAAAAACATTCCCTTTCAGTTCAAATATTAACTAATAATTTCATAATTCAAAATTAAATCAGAAACAACAACTTAATTTCAAGCAATTATTGATATTGACACTATACCACCTCAATTCATAATAAAGAAGAAATAAAACTTTAAGATTTTAAAATATTTAAAATTCAAGTCTTAAAACAATCAAAGCCACATTAAAAATAAATAAATATCAATCTGCATTAAAAAATTTTGCCTTTTAAAAAACTTTGATTTGTTCATATATACCAAATATATATATATCTATTCTAAATATTCGTAAAATTATTTTTACTAACATAATTACCTTAGCACCTATACATATTTTGTTTACCATTTTATTTTAAATGTCAGTGTCTCCTATTCGATAAACTCAGTACTTTCAATAACTAAATAAATAACAAAACAAAAAATTACACTCATAAAAAATTTAAAATGTTGTTTTCGTGTCCATGAATAGGGTTGTTCTCTAGATGCCATTAAAATACATAAATAAATTGTTACAAAAATTGTAATAAAAATAATACAAATTTTAAAAATTGTCACAAAATTCCATACCATGTATAAAATTACAATAATAATAATAAATGAATGAGAGAGAAAGGATATTAATGAAATAAACTGCAAAATACAATTTTCATTTTAAAAACTTCAACATTTTGATAAACAACTCACAGTTTTATGAACTGTGCAAAATGATCCAATGAAAGAAGAAAATTTAAATTCAATAAAAAAAATTTCTTATTTTTTATGAACCGTTAAATTCTTAATATTTTTTCTCCCATTTGGAAAATTTTTCAATTAAGATTTGACTGATTGTAAAATAATGGCTGAATCTCAGAGTAAAATATTTTAATATAACAGCTAGGCTGTTCCGGGCTTGTTGACACACACCATTTATGTCGAGAAGTCCATAAACTTTAACCCCTTAAAGCACAGAATTTCTGGAGAAAAAAAAAACGGACAAAAAACAGCACTTTTTTTAATGTAAAAAAATTGATTCCGCTTCTGATTCAACTTTTTTTTGGTGGACAATTTTGATATACTGAGCTTTTGTTCCATGGAAAAAGGCTATATTTTATTCTTAAATAAATAAGTGTTATAGCTTACAATCCTATATAAATGATAAATATCAATAAAACGATTTTTTTCTTAGCTTTCACATTGTTATTTTCAATTCTCGATTATACTCAAGTGTGAAAAATTATAGCAGCATAAAATACAACGTCACTCGAATTATCTCGAATGTGCACAGTTTGGCCTGTTTACTGCGCTCGAACTAACTCGAGGGCACAAGTTAAGGGGTTAAAATATAAGATATATATTGTCCTTCTTGTCATTTAAACAGAATATTACAGGAATAAAATACAGAAAGAAAGGAACTATCAGCCAAAACACTGAAATACCAAAAAGTGCAACTGTTTTCAAATGCAAATTTTTGATGTCCTATGGTCCTAAAACATTTAGTTTATAATAAGTAAAAATTGGTAAAAGAAAAATTATTATCAATTACTCAACTCTTAAGATCATATAATAATTTCAAAGTTTTATGAACGCAAAAACAAAATTTTAGTTTCATGTGAAGACTATTCTGAATGGAGTTCAAAAAGTTACATAACATTTTAAAAATTAACTTCTTCTTCAATGGCAAGCCAGCCCAGGGTGGGCCATTGCCTTCCTCAGAAGCAAGCTCCAAGTTATCCTATTCTTGAATAGACTCTTCCAGTTTATTACAAATTAACTCCAATCATATTCTTATCAACGTTTTTTTCTTTTTTGAAGAAACAAGTTTTGAGGATCAAAAATGTATAGTGTCTTCAAAAAATTTTTAACCGCTTTTTACAACACAATTATATTTTTAATATTTAAAATAAATTAGCTTTATAAATTCTGAACATACCTTCTGGCAATCCAGGAACTGGTTCCAAGTTCTTCATTTCAGTATCCTTAGAAGTATTAGTGCTAATTTTAGCTTGCGATCTACCCCATTTGATGGTTAGTCTACGTCCACTTAGAATCAACTTATTAAAAGCTTTTTCCGCAGCAAGTTCTGCAGCTTGCCTTGTCGTAAATTGGATGAATGCACACTGTTGTTTAGTCAATAAAGTTATGGAGCGTATTTCTCCATATTGGTAGAAATGGTCCCTATAAACAGAATAAAAAAGTAGAAAATCAATTTTATAGCTGAAAAATAGAGATAATATAATTTTATAGCTGAAAAATAGAGATTAATATAACATTTACATAAAATATAAAAAAAATAACATAAAAGAGTGATCAATGTATGGATTGTGATTTAAATTTGGAAATCATGTAACCATTTTACATAGATTGCTAAATTTGGTTGAAAAATAAAAAATATTTTTTCAATATTTCATCGTGAAGAACTAACTCTTATTATTAAGAGCAATTATTTTGAATACTTTTCATAAAAATTGTCAAGAAATTTCATTCTCTATCAGTATAATTAATATACAAGAGTTTAATTATACTATATGTTTTAATAACTTCTAAACACCATAATTTTATTGTGATTCATCGTCTGTCTAGGTTTTCCTGAGAGGTACCTACTTTGCGAAAATTTAGACATAATTTGTGAAAATTAAAAATTATTTTTAAAAAATCAACACAAAAATATGGATATATCGTTTCTTACGGGATACAAAAATAATATTTTAAGAAAAAGTACTTTGTGAAACTACCGTTTTTCCTAAAGTTGAATTTGTGAAGGCACTGCTAAACGGTAGTAAATTTGGCCTGGACAGACCCCTGTTCCTGTGTAATTAAGAATGTTTATTTTTCATTTTTAATTTAAAAATAGATGTTATGTAGATTAGGTGTTGGATTGTAATTACAAATAAAACTAGAAAAGGTTTTGCATCTTAGATTTAAGAATTAGGCTTATACTGAAATACATCATAAATAATATTGGGAAATTTTTCTTATTATTTAAAAATAAAAAATAATTAATTTAAGAAATTGAATAAGGTAATGAATGATAGTACCAATATTTTTCATCAACACTGACAAACTGTTATCTTGTTAAATAAATATGTTTCAATTAAGTTCCCCTTATACACCTAAGAATATATACATTCACAAGAAAAAGTAAAGAATACATATTGGTATATTTAAGTATATCTTATAGATTTAAAGTGTTGAATAATTCAATGGAATGAGTATAGTAATAAAATAATTGATATAAATATAATTAATTTTTCAAATAATTTAATAAGATAATGATTGGTATTATCAATATTATTTTTCACCAACATTGACAAACTATTATCTTGTTCGATAAATATGTTTCGATTAAGTTTTGCTCATACAACTAAGAATACGTACATTCACAAGAAAAATTAAAAAGTGCACATTGATATTCTCAAGTACATGTTATAGACTTATAATGTTGAATAATTCAAATAATTGAATATGTATAGTAAGAAAATAATTGATATAAATATAATTAATGTTATATCAAATAATTGAATAAAAATAATTTATTCAAACAATTCAATAAGATATGAATGATAGTATCAAAATTATTTTTATTGATATTGATTATCACCCATACAACAAAAAATATGTATTTTCACAAAAAAAGTAAAATGTGCATACTGGTATTGCTCAGGATATATTATAGATTCACATCATTGAATATTTAACACAAGACATTTTTCTCCCAATATCATTAAAATCTCATAAAGAACATTTATTAAAATCTCATAAAAGCATACTTTAATTCCTTCTCAGTAATCTTTTCTCCAAGATTTCCAACATATAAAGTAGTTATTGTCTTATCTTCAGGTGTTTCAAGTTTTGGCATAGCTGATGCTCGTCTTAGTAGTTTATCTGCGACAGGATCATTTGCACCATAATATCTATCTTTAATGTTTTGATCGGCTAATGGATCGTCTGGGTCTGTAGGTTTTTCATGCCTAAAATTAGTATATAAAAAAATCAGTTCTCTAAAATATAAAACAAAAATTTCACATTAGCAACAATTTATAAAAATAAGAGATGATCTCAGAAAAAAAAATTACACAAAAGTTCAAAATTAATAGCGATCCATTGATTTAAGATCATTAAAAATTGGTTCAAACAAACATAAAATAGTTATCAGTAGTCATCATGCCAGCAATCAAAAAAGGAAGATAGTATGCTATTATTCATTAATTTACTTTCTTGATTTTATGTTTTGGACTATGTTTTTGTCACAAATCAACATTGTGAGATTACACATTCTCTGTACTATAATTTTTTTTTTTACATTAAAATTCACTTTATTAACTTCTTTTTTAAAAAAGTCCAATTGAGACACACAAACCCGTGAAAATATATCTGGACAATTAACATCTTTAAGAGTTATCTATCCCATGGACCAGTGATTAGACTTTCATAGCTAATACCCCTATTAATTATAGGATTATGTCTGTGACAAAACAATATATGATCAGTGTTTTCACAACAGCGCGAGAATCTCGCATATTTTCTTTTTTTCTCGCATTAAAAAATGATTAACGCGAGAAGTTCGCGCAATCTATTAATCAATTTTAAAATATGGGAATCTCCCAAATTTTGGAGAAAAATTCGCCTTACGCAATTTTGAAAAAGAGATGAAAACAGCTACCGTAAACCGGGGTGAGTCTACCCATTTTTTCAGTTTGTCAACTTTCAAGTGGTCAAACTTTTGTAAATATTAAAGAAAAAAGGCTTTTAATAGGTGTTTCGGAATCGCTATTTATCCCTCTTTAAAGCTGTGAAATCGATTTTAGAAAATATTAACAGTTACGCTGTTACTGTATATTTTTATAGAACTGCTGACAAATCTCTTGTATGGGACGAGTCTACCCATTCTACTAAAATGAATGTTAACATTGTAAATAATCAAATTTTACTATTAAATTATTATTTTAGTTACTATATAGGATATTTATGAAGTAAAATTCATAACTTTATTATATATTCCATTTTTTTATTCATAAAATAACACAAATTGAGTATTTGATCGATTATCACATTTTGATCACAGTTGTTTTTATAATCATTAACATTATAAAATAACATTTTTTTCTGATTATTGTTGATAGAAATAAATTAAAATTAATATAAATTTACAATTAAATAATTAATAAATAATAATAATTAAAGATTATTAACAAAATCATGGCCTTTTTTTGTAACATTTAAATCCATTTGTTTTGCGAATATGATTTCGAACCATCTGTAATAATTCGTGTAATGCCTTGCATTATACAATTTTAGATATGAAGCACATATTTCTAACTTAACAAAATTCATACAAATTAAATGAACTAAGTGCAGTTAAACAAAGCGCATTGCTATTATGCTGGCTGTTAAGCTTGATTCATTCTAATGTAAGTATCAAATTGTAAGCAACAGTTCGCAAAAAATCATTAATAGTTGAGTCAAAACCAATTTGAAATTAGAAGAAAATTCTAACATAAATATTTCATTTCATAAAACAATTTTTAAATCTTTTTAAAATTCAGGTAAGTTAGAAACATAGATTTTATTTTAAAATAGGCATGCATAAACTTATTCATCGCAATTAAAGCCTTATTTAATATAATAAAAAGCTTTAGTAAAATAAGATCATTTAATAATAATAACTCTTCCCCTTTCCTTTTAAATACACACAGGTAATAGAAATTGCAGGAGGACAAAAGATGTTTCATAATCTACTAAATTTGTAAAATCACATACAGTTCCTTTAATTAGCTAAAATTTGTAAATCACAAATAGATTTTTGTTCATGGGTGATAGACTGAAATCCCTTATCTTTATGTTATACATTCTTCACAACGTAAGAAAAAATATTGTAAATACTCAGGTGGAAAATTTTTTGTTTTTAAAAATACGATTGAGTACTTATAATTGCAACATCACAAATCAAGCGAATAAAAAAAAAATATTTGTCAAAATAATGATTTGTAATAAAATACCAAGATTTTAAAAACCAGGGAGAAATTTGAAAAAAAAAAAAAAAAAAAAAAAGTATGATAAAAATTGANAAAAAAAAAAAAAAAAAAGAGTATGATAAATATTTCACATTTAATTTTTGGCTTTTAACCCTCTTGCTCCATCTTGTTAAAATAATAAAACTAATATCCCGCATTTTCAAAAACTGCACTGTCCAGACACTTTAGCTGTCTAGGTTCTTGAGATTGTGTATCAATTTCTTGGTCAAATAATAAATATGAAACAAAGAGAGATAGAGAGAGAGAGTAAAAATTACGAAAACGAGATACTCAGGCAGTCAACGCAACAAAATGCTCTGCTATAAAAATTTAAGATCAGCATAAAAAATATTTATTTCAGAAAAATTTAAAACGAATAAAAGTTTAAATAATTAGTAATTTAAATGAAAACAATTATGGCAGAGAAATAAGTTTCTAAGATATTAATAAAATTAAATAAAGTTAAAAAATGTACAAACCATTACAATTTTACAATTTAAGCAGTGAATTTTCTATAAAAATTTAATTATTCAGATTAAAACAACAAACAAAACACTCTTACCTGTAAGGACACTCTTCACCACGTTTACACTCCCCTTTGACCCAAAAGCTACATATGTGGGGTCGATTTCTCTTGTAGTATGGAGTGGTTCTAGCTAATTTCATAAGAAGATCACCAGGAGTCGGAGCTTTACCAAGAGCTCCAAAAGGCTGACTTCCATCAGCATTAGCAATCTAGAAATATATATATAATCTGTAGAATAATTAAAAGAAAAGTAGCATACATAATTTCTATTGACAATTAGAAAACTAAAAAAAAATTACAAGAGCATAACAAAAGAACTTCCTGTTTAAAATTAAAAGCGACATTTCTGGGTTGCCACTTAAAACCGGAAAATAAATTTCCTGTATATATATTTAGTATATAAGGAGTAACACATAACCAAGATGTTTACAGATTGTTCTTAAAATACAATAATCCCTCAGTTTAAATCACTGGGAAAAAAAACAAGGAGCAGTAACAATTCAACAACATTTGAAATAAAATATGGTAACAGATTGGCGTTTATATTTGGAAACTGAAAAAAAAATTATAAATTATATAATGAATTAATTTACTGAATGCTAAATTTATCGTGAAAAGAAAAAAAATCAATCGTAGTGGAATCAGAAAAACAAGACTGCAATCTGCTTCATAAAATGATCGTATGTTTAAATTAATAAACAATTCTCCTTTTAGTTTTTTTATTTATAAAAACACGATCTTTAACGAAAGCAGATGTGATTCCACATCAAGAAAAGTTTGCAAATGATTCCACACTTCTAAAGAATCAGAATTTATTCAAAAGAAAAATAATTTACTTTTATTAATTGATTTGTTAACCGACGTCAAATAGATAAATATTTTTCTCTTTCATCTTCTGTTCACTGATATGCATGTGTGATGCATTTTCCCCACCCCCTCGCAAATCAAAGAGAAAAAGAAATCAGCAAGCCACTCCTTTGAGTTTGATTGACAGCCTAAAGGAGAAAGTAAAACATTCATCTCTTCCCTGCCTCCTCTCGATCCGAAGATCTTCAAGGTCACAGAAGAAATGACATTTCACTGGATGAATGGGGAAAAAAATTCTCACATTTTCTCTACTCAACTTAAAGATGAGTTCAATTTCCCCTCTTTTTCATAATTGCTCTAGTTTAAAATGGTGGGAAAACCGAGCAAAATTTCCCCCGGTTTTCTGGATACCGGATAAATGGTTCTCTACTGTATTTCAAAAAAATAAAAATATAAATAAAATTCCTGGTTTTTATATGATTTTTTTGATTCCCTGTATTTTCCTGGTTCTCCCGGTGCCGTGGTCTTCATAATTTTTGTTTTTGCAAACGATACTTTTAATTTTAATGACTATGGCAAACTTTCCAGAATACCTAGAATATAACTGAAAAAATACAGAAAAATCTTGACACAAGCTGACAAATTAAACTTTTCCAGACAATTCTGTTTTTTCAGTCATTTAAAATCTATCAGCAGAGATATAGCTTTGTAAAGAAAAAACAAGTTTACTGTTCACATATGCACATACGAGTTTGTTACAAACACTCTAATAATTATGTGCAAAATAGTATTAGCAAATTATAGCAGTTATTAATAAAGTGTGAAGTTGCATGTTTAAATGTTAATTGTTATCTACCTGCTTCAAGTCATCACAATTCTAGGAGTTTAATGCACATTTTCTATAATTATTGTTATTAAGTTATTCATTTATTTATTGTTTCATTATGTCAGAGTAATCTCAAGTAAAAACAGAAAACGATGATGGCATGTGAAAACATTTTCAATGAATTTATATTTTAGAAGCTGCCTGAAATCATTACTACATGTTGTTTATGTTAACGTTTTTGAAACGTGTTCCTAAACCAGATTATTCTAAAACCAACAATAATAGAAATAAAAATAGTTATGTAAAGGGTAAAAGCATCAAAGAAATTCACTTAATTGAGATAAATTTTCACTATGAGTTGGCCATGATTGATAGAAAATAATGCAAAGAAAAATTTCTTTATTTTGATTAGTTGAGCTAGTAAATATAGGATAAGGAGAATTTTAACAAAACATTATACCATCATAGAAATATATACAATATTATTCAATAAATTTTAAAGCTTTTTATATAGGAGTAAGTAAAAATAAATATACCTCACGTTCCATATTTTGAGAATAATATTCTCTATTGACTTCAGACTTGGGAATCTCATCTTTTAAATTTAAAGCATAATCTCGTACTTGTACAGGCAAACCTTGATAGAGAACAAAAAAATATATCAGTGCAAAGCTGGAAAAACCAGATTCACCAAATAAATGAGTTAAAAAAATAGTTGAAAAGTGAAAAAATTAGTTTTAATACCATGAAAACTTCTTATTTTGTGATGAGAAACTCATAAATAAATTTTTACTTAAGTAAAAAGTTACATTACTTACTTTAATATAAAATTATGTAATTTATGAATATAAATTACCATAGTATATAAAAAATAATTATATATATTTTATGACACTTTCTCAATACTAAAAATATTTAACTTAATAAAATATTTTAATTAACAGCAAAAACAAATCATATAACTCATGTAGCATAATGTTTTCTTTTTTTAAATAAATTAATATTTATGCTGGTAACATATGAAAGAAATGCTATAAAAAAATAAGCATTGCTTAAATATTATATTATTCAATTAAAAGAAATTACGCAAAATATTTTTATTTTTTGGTTTCCTGAAAAACCCATACACTTAAAATTTTTTACAGACATGGACATTTAAAAGTAAAATGGACAGATCCATTTCATAACATAATTCCATTTTTTTTTCTTAAGAAAATAGAGTGTAGAAATAGTTATTTGGATAACATTAAAATAGATAAGGAATATTTAATTCAATTTTGAAGCATTTTCATTTCCTAGATGTCAAAAAATGTCCCAATTTTTATATCATATCACAAAAATAATGAAACAAGAATATTCCCACAAATATAAACTCTGCATACTTTTAAATCTCAATGAAGAATAAAATCAATCATTTAGATGTTTTATCAAACCAATAAATTAAGCTATTTGTTTCTGTTTCTTGGTGAATTTTCTTATTGACACTAATTTCTTATATTATCTCTGCAGCACTCTTATTTTAAAATGCCAATGCTTTTTAGATTCCATTCTAATAAGTTTTTTATCACTTTTAGCTCTTCATGATAGTAAACGCAAGCATATTTGGCTGCAAGTTACGCTTACATGGAATAAACCTCTAGCACTAATAACTGTTCAGCATAAACAGTTCGTAAAGCAATTAAAACCTTACCTTTTATGTTCTTAGTGAACATGGTTTAAATAATAGTGAAACCTATTTCCTTTTTAATATGAGGACAATAGACAGCTTATGCCTCTAACTAGTTTAAAATACGCTAATGCTCTTTAAATAAATAACAGCATGAACCAGGAAACCCCCCCCAAAAAAAAACAATAAAAAATTCTTTAAAAAAATGTTGCAAGAGAAAAAATAAAATACCAAGGCTATTTTCATGACAAATAAAATATAATTTACTAAATAAACTTACCAAATTCTAAATCTAACAAGCATGTTTGACAAACATTCTTTTGCTTGCTACATGTTTGACAAACTTCAGTCTTTTTAAATCTCATTCTAGAACCAGGGCACCATCGAAACACCGTAAAAGGACGAGAACATATTTTGCACTCCTTTCCAAACTTTTCTTTAGTCTAGAAATACATTAAAAAGTCATAACATTTAAGACAAATATTGTAACTTGGCAGTGTTTTTTGGTCTAAGAATAAAATTTACTGAAATTATGCTAAGTAAAAATTTCATTAATTATCTAAAAAGAAATTAAACAAATATATAACAAAGGGTTTTCACACGGTCACCATTTTTAAGCATTATCTTTTAAAGCTTTTTTCAAGGGGGAAAAAAAAAACAGATTTTAAGTCAAAGTTTAAACTGCTGAAACAACGACAACAGAAAAAACTTTTAGTACGATTTGTGGGGAAATATTTAAGAACTTAAAGTAGTCATACGAACCCTAATTCTTGCAAAAAAATCTGAGATGGTCACCTTATATAAGGTAATACTAGCTGAAGCCACCAGCCACTAAATATATCAAGTAGCAATAAAAAGATTAGCTGTCATTTAGCATCCATTCACCACTATTTTTACCTTAAAAAATTCACTCTATGGACTTTTTTCCTTTTAAACAAATACAGAATTATGATTAAAATTAGAGAAATCATTATTGAATATTTCTTTATTTCATGCATGTTTCAGGAAAACTTTCTTCATTTTCCGAAACGAACTTTGTAAGGTTTCCCACATTTTGAGAAATGTTGCAAAAGAAATGCCGTATATTATTTAGTTAGTTCTTTTAATAATTTGAGACTTTAAATATTTGAAAAGTGGTCACATGCTTTAAAAAGTAGCAATAAAATTTCGAATATTGCCCTATATCTTTTTACATATTTTGAAAGTTTAAAATTGAGATGAAAAAGCTGTATTTTACTGTTTGTTTTTAACCTAAATAATGATATCAGTTACATTTAAATGTGTATTCATGATAAAGAAAAAGTCAAGTTTTTCTTTATACCTTCCAAGACACAAGTCAACCCAGGTGATTCAGGATGCCCATCTAAAGACAAAATTGTCAACATAGATGGAGCTGAGCTTCATTAAACAAGAGTCATGTGTCAAGAGATTCTGGCGTAGATTTTCTCGCATCATATACCACGCGATCTTGACATGACAAGTTTCATTTATTATGGTATCATCTTTTTCAGTTATTTATTTAAACTATGTAATCTTTTCCTTTTAAATGTGCTCTTGTGTTAGTACGTTTCGAATTATTTATCAAAAAAACATAAATATTACATTTACAAATTATATTTAATATCTAAATTACTTACAACTCAATTTAAATTTCTTAAAAATAAAATTAAGGACATATTTTAAATTATTAAAAAATAATATTCAATTACATTTTTAACTCATTTGAAAATAAAATTATAAAATTTTTTTTAATTACTTAAAAATATTTATTTTTAAATCACTTAAAAATAAAATTAAGCATAAATAGCTCAATGGTGATCAATTTAATATATCTATTGCTTAAAAATAAGTTATTAATGTAATAAAAATTTTATGTTTCAGTTTTCAATTTCTAAATATTTAAAAAATTGGATAAGACCCAAATGTTATACTATTTAAAAAAAAAAACTATAATAGAAATAATTTACATGAGAGAAAAACAAGGTATGCTGAAATTACTCAGTTAACACTTTAAGAGTGCACGAAATTCACTAACATAATAATCTTCCCTGTGGCAGAATTTTTTGGGGCTTTCTGCAACATACCTCTCTAATACTAATATCTTTCTGCAAGATACTTTTAAAAATAACAAATATACATGTTACTAAATTAAAGTAACAAAAGCGTAAACTTCAAAAAAAAAAAAATTAAATAAACTTCATAGATCAAATAAAAAATTTTTTTAATTAAATATGCAATATTTTTTATTCTAATATTATGGGCTATATTCTCGCATTTTGTAGGGGGAAAGCACACTAATTATTTTCTTTTTCGCGTTTCGGAAAATCATTATCTAATTAAAAAGTTTTTTTAAAAAATCGTGAAATCCGTAGCAGTAAATTGGACTCTTCAAAAAAGGGTTACTAAATGCACGTTTTCATTTCCAGATTCAGTTGTTGTAATAAATAATATCATATTAAAAATATCGGATTTTAAAACTAGGTGGAAATCAATAGTAATAACCACATTAAAAAAAACTAGAATGAAATTTCTTGCAGAAAAGAAAACCAAAATTTTTACTTCATTAATCTTTATTTATCATTGTTCTCAAATGAATAGAAAACACTTTTTTCACTCGGATGAGCGAAAAAGGCACCTTTTGAATATAATGCTGAAGAAAAAATAAAATCTTTCGAAAACTTCTGCAGAAAAAAAAATCTTTTTACATCACAAAAGAAAAATCTTTCTGCAAGAACTCTGTAACGTTCTGCGACAATGTCGCCACGATTCTGCCACGGGGATAATCTCTAGCCAATAGATTTTTAGTGGTAAATTAATAAATTTAGGAACATAAGAAATTCGTGATAAGGAAATCTCCCAAGGAAAATAAGCTCTAATTAAACCATTAAGTTAGTCAATGAATACACCCTATGAACAAGCCACAAGTCTACCTAAATATTAAATTCATAGGTCTCTACAAGTAGGAGGGGGATATTCCTTTCAATAGAGAAGCTCTAAAAATAGAGCCATGAGAGTCGTCACAATTCGTAATACGGAAATCACCCTAGGAAAGTAAGCTCTAATTAAACCATTAAGATCGTCAAGCCACAAGTTTACCTAGGTATTAAATTTTAATTTCATAGGTCCCTGTAAGAAATAGGGGAGGGGTATTCCTTTCAATACTTATTGCTGGATGAACACAATATGTTACAAGTTTACTTCACCTATATTTAAAAATAAATAACTAAATCTGTCACGAAGACGAGATCTCACGAAATGAGAAAGTTAAGAACCATTAATGCTAGTTATAAAAGTAGATATCACTATAAAAATATGGTTATTTGTCTGTTAAGAATATTTCGTGCAAATGAGTAAGATCTTAAAAAAATATTTCTTACCATACGAATGTAGGGATTATCACCAAGACATGTTTGGCAGAGAACGGGGAAATCCTAAAATAAAAATAATCATATTGAAATTTAAATTCTATACTTTAAATAAATACAGAAATCTTATCAATACTTACAGCTTCCTCCCAATTCAATCGATTATATGTATTTGCTCCTTTAGAAGTCGCCATTTCAAATCCGTTTTTGTTATGTTTTCATGATGAAGTAAGGAGCTTTATTCTGCCTATTTCTGTTAATCGCACACGAATGGGAACCTGATTAGATAAATATTTTCAGCGGATAAAGAGTCATCAGTCTGGTTCAACTAATTGTAATAGCCCAGGCATTGATTCAATAAGCATATCATGATTTACGGAATTGATCTAATTGGAAAGGTACTCCTTCCCATCTTTTTATTAGTTCCCGCAGCATTCAGGTTCTCATTCCACAGAAAGTGAGAATGGTCCTTCGGAAGTTTCTTCATTGCTACAAGTAGAATTTGTTGTTGTAGTTCATTTACGTCACACTAGAGCTGCACAATGGGCTATTGGCGACTGTCTGGGAAACATCCCTGACGATGATCCGAAGAGATACCATCACAATTTTGATCCTCTGCGGAGGGGATGGCTTCCCCGTTTCGGTAGACCGACGACCTGCACGTGAAATTGAGCACTTTACTGTAGAACAGTTTAACGAGGACCAATACCGCACACCCTCGGTCTCTACGCAGACGGATCTAAGTGATCACCCTCCTACACTGACCGCAGCCAGTGATGCTTGACTTCGGTGATCTGCTGGGAACCGTGTTTTAACGATCAGTCCACTGCGGGACACAAAATTTACTTTCAGTCGAAATTTCAATTTTCGTTTAAAGGTCATTCGCATTGAATGCGATTTTTATGCTGGCGACAAAATCACACGCGAACGAGAATCTGATTAGCGATTTTTTTAACAGAAAAGTATATTTCACCAATCTGGTTCTCATTCGCATTCGAAAAAGTCTCAGTCAGTAAGAATAGCTGAGATGTGCTGTATACATCACATCATCATCTATATATAGCAACCGATGTTTCAACTGCTTCCAGATGGTTGACAGAGCGTAAACAATAAAAAGCTTCTTAAGACCAGAAGAAACTTGGAAAACTTCCGGTGTTTCCCCCCCCCCGCTTATGTTATGCATATAAAGTGATGTGTGAACTGATTTTCTTCATATGTTTGGCGTGTTCTGTTTCGTGCAAAGAAAATGGTGACCGACTCTGCCAGTGATTCTGATGGAACTGAATGAAAACGTGATAAATTAATGTCTGATATTTACAGGCTCCCTCTAGAGGGCGTACTCGAGCGTTGCGATCGCGAATAGCAATCCGTGTTTCAGCTTCTTCCAGATGGTTGACAGAACATAAACAATAACAAGATTCTTAAGACCGGAAGCAATTTTGAAAACTTCCGGTGTATCCCTCCGCTTATGTTATGCATTCGAAGTGATGTGTGAACTGGTTTAATATTCTAGAGAGTTTTATTATTGTGATTTATGTTTGCGGCATAGCTACCGATACGATTATTATAAACATCAATTCACAAGTATATAAGACATGCTAACTCGATTCAATCTTGAGATACCTTTTGATAGTTAAAGGTTGGCATTTTCGAAAACTCCATGTTGTAAATATTAGCAAAATAAAGGTGACAGCTATTTTAAATAGTATTTAATATGAACTTAGAAATAAAAAAGGAAAAGAACGATTAGAAAAAATAAACTCGGAATATACAAGCAATAGAAGTTGCCAGATTACGAAAGTGCAGCTCTACAACATAAACAAAATATAGCGTGAGGCTCGCTGATAGCATGCTCGATTTATAACACTCCACCCACATTGGTGACCTGCGGACGAGCTGTGATCACGCCTTTTTCGATGAATGGTACACATTGAACAGTTGACTTGCAATTTGTGACTGCGTCATCGTCTTCCTTACGTTGTTGCTTCTCAGTCTCATTCGCATACTATGGGAACCAGCACATACTCGACTGCTAAGATTTTAGGAGAGATCACATATACACCGGTAAACTTAATACAGCTCTCACTACAAACGCCTAAAAAAAACTCGTTGAACTAAATATAGCTCTCAACATCCGATAAATTAATACGGCTCTCCTGATCTCTCGCAAATACTGCAACTAGTGGTATCCGTTCATCGAATTCTATTCCTAATTATTTTTTAAAGTCTCTTTCTAGACCTTAATTATTATTTTTTTTAAATTTGGATTTAAAAAAGTACTAATTCATTTTATTTTTTACTTTTTAAATTTGAATTAAAATAATTTTCATTATTTTTTTTTCCCTACATGATGCAAACACATTAGTACTTAAAATAAAATTCTCAAAGTACAACTTTTGCTCAAGTTTCTGTAAGAAATGAATTCAGTGTGGTATGTCATTTTCACACAAAAGTGTTTTTTGTTATTAAAATAATATATATATATAAAAAATAATTCTTATTTGATTAAATTTGAAGGAGGATTAGTCACCTTCCTGAATCTATGCTTTCTTTGACAAAATTATGTTCAGAAAATTTGAATAGGTTATATACACTTTAATTTCATTTTTTAAGCAGCTTATTTCAGAATTTGTATTTCTCATGAGTTATTTGATCAATTCTCTTCAAATTTTGAATTTGGTCAGTTGAAATAACGTAGACTAAAATTAGTGCAAAAATTTTTGTACCTTTCAATTCAAATGTTTTTGAACCATTAGTGAATTAAATAATAAAAATAGATAATTAAGATAAATAATTTTTTACATGGATATTAAAGATAAATACTTTTTTCCTTGAATATACAAATTTTATAATTGTATGCAAATACCTTTTGATTTCCTTTTATTATTTCCGGAGTTAGGGAACAAGTATAAATGGAAGTAAAGAGAACTAAAAAACTGAAACTTTCGTATTTGTACCATATACTTCAGATTTTAGCTACCCTCCATTTTTAAAGGTATTAAGAAAAGATAAAGGTTCATCAAGAAAAGTATATTCAGCGAAGAAAGTTTCTATGTCTGAATTCGTATCACTTGCTCTAATCAATCGGCAAATTTAAGGTAAACTATCAAGACTTATTCCTACCATTTGAAAATCCGATTATTACATCAGAGGTTTGTAAATCGTTGTTTTTTTTGGGGGGGGGGGGGGAAAANCAGACATTTTTTTTTGGGGGGGGGGGGGTAAATGCCTGCCGCCTCCACATTGTACCCCCTGCATACTCCTCGCTGGGTAACTAAATGGCAGGCAAACATTATGATGAATGTCAACAGAGCTTGTGATACGGCCTCATCCGTTGCGCCGGTGAACAAGGGATGCGTTCAGGAATTAGGTAGAGGTTCCTGTTCGAAAAGTTCATTACAGTCTCCAGTAGCACATGGTAAGCCCTCGGGGGAGCCCAGTGCTAATACCGCTGCTCTGCAGCCTCTTCTGAGTGCTGGTGAGGTGTCCAAAGGCACTGGCCCTGCCTCTGTAGGAGTCTCTGGTTTCCGGAGACACTCATGGGGCAGTGTGTCTGGCTCCACTGGACTATCTAAGAGCCAGAGAAGGAGGTTAAGAAAAATGGGGACCACTGGAGTGAGTGGCGGAGCTAAGAAGCCTAGGCCTTCTGACGCAACGGCCTCACCCAGTGTACCAAACCAAAGAGGTAAGAAGCCCAGAAAAGGTTTTGTTACTGGGAGAAGAAGCCAATCCAGGGAAGTGGTTCCTCCTAGTGGGGATGGACAAACAGGAGCTGGGGACCCAACCGGGAACCTCCTATCTTGAGTTTCTTTCGCTCACTCAATTAAGTCGACCAAGATTGCTATTGTGAGGGAGGATTTTCCTTTGAACAAGCTTTTTCAGAAAGACTCTGACAATATCCTCAGGAAGATCTTAGAGCTGACTGACGCCATTCCCTTTGGCGAAAGAATGCCTGAGATCTTCAGTAACAACGTACTGAGAGGAGCGTTGTTCATTTAGTGTAGTGATTACATGGTGGAGAGGATCAGAAACCACTTCAATTAGAAATCCTTGGGTGACCTCATGCGTAGAGTTTTAAGCGGTGATGAGTTACCTAAGTCTATGAAGGTGGCTTTTAAGACCAGGCAGAAGTTCTCTGATCAGGGCACCTTCTTGAGACGCCTTCAGAGACTTAACACAGGGCTGAAGTCTCATGAGATAGAGGGTTCTACAGAATGCTGCAGGGCCAGGCATCTCTGGATGGATCTTTGAGGTTAAGCCTGAGGACGTGGAAGATATAGTGAGGTCCAAATATGGAGCCCTCACTGGAGTGGATCGTGGAGTCTTCAGATTATAAACGATCCTAATAAGAAAAAGGTAGCAGAAGCTCCAACAACTTCGGGTGTCCTCCCTGTAGCACCAGAAGGAAATGCAACAGGAGGAAAAACTATGGAAGGCTAATTCAAGATAAGTTCAATTGGAGCTCTCAATTTTTCAGAGCTAGAGTTGGACATTGGGTCGGACGTAACTGTACGTCCTGACTCACCAGCATCTATGCTTGGTATTGACAAAGCAATAGAGCTGATAAAGGGAGATCATTCTTCTAACTAATCAAATCAATAGAGCTTCACAAGTGATGAATATTCCCTCTTTTATTATGCCTAGTGATTATGTCTCTAGTTCCGACAGTCAAACTGCTTTCCTATTACTGTCAAGGTGTAAATTCACCTCTTTGCTAGTGTGAGAAGGTTTCTCGGTCCTTTGTGACCTATCTACTCATAACAGGGTACCTGGACATATGGGTATTCTTGGAAATGAGTTAGCTGATGAAGCAGCATGAGCCGACTCTAATACAATTTTCTGGCGCCCTGAACCAGCCTTGGGAATTTCTCCCACCTCTTACAGGGCATCTATATTCAAACTCTGTGGCAAAATTGCTCATGAGCAATGGCGCGACACAGACAGTCAGAGTAAAGCTAAGGAGCAGAAGCGCAACTGCTCCAGTGTACGTCAGAAAGAGCTTCTAAAGCTAAACAGGAACAGCTTGAGGAAGATCATTGATCATCTCACTGGACTTGCATCCTCAGGAGACAACTATACGTAATGGGTATTGAAACTAATCCTCTTTACAGAGGTTGTCACCTTGAAGAAGAGACATCACGACATATACTATGTGATTGTGAGGTCTATTCTGCTTAAAGATTTGAGCATTTAGGGCAACATTATATTAAGGCCTGGGAACTGCAAGATGTTCCTGTAAGGTGTTTGCTGAATTTTATTTCAGTTATAGGGCTTTCT